TACTACTATATATATAATATATATATATATATATATATATATATATATATATATATAGCAATAAATCCTCGCATTTGGTACATTCGTCTCAAATAGCCATTAGCCATTTGTTTGATAGCTTCCTAATTCAAGTCATTAAGGCTGATCCGGAGGCTCATAGATGAACTGGAACTGAAGTTTGAATTAATTTAATGCATAGAGACTTGCAATTGTCTAATTTCCTATCTGTCTTTATTATTATGCCAAGAACTTTACTTGCTTCGCCGTCTTGGATTGTATTCAAATGCGGTAACCGGTAGCCTTTGGAATGAATCATCAGTGAGCATGGTAAAGATTAAAAAATGTTGCCTAAAATTGAGAGCGATTTTCAGGCGAAGAACGGGCATGAAAGAACTGGATATTTTAAAGAAATTAAATGAAGCAGATCGAGATGATCGGTATCATTGTCTTCAGCTGTATCGGCATTTTTATCACCATCAGCATCTCTGTTTGGTTTTCGAATCGCTCAGGTACTGAATTGTTCACAACTTTCAACTTTCTAGTTCATCTCATTCTCTATAATTATGTTTTCTCTGTTCTGAAAATTAGCTCATGGAAATATAGTAAAAAAATTTCAGTATGAATCTCCGCGAACTATTAAAGAAGTATGGAAATAGCGTTGGTTTACACATGAAGGCAGTACGCAGTTATACACAGCAACTTCTGATGGCTCTTAGGTTACTCAAAAAATGCAACATTCTTCATGCAGATATCAAACCGGATAACATTCTTGTAAGTAAAAACATTGAAAGGATTATATGCTGTCGTTCAAGCATCTTACCACTGTAGCAAGCTGACTTTATACTGTTTGTTTTTTTTTTACACGATTAGAATTAAGACCTTTTGATTTAGAATGTGAAAGATGTTGCATAATAACGATTACTGATTATTGGTTTTCAAGCTTTTGATTTGGGTTATGTCTTTCTAGCTTTACCGCAAATACCTTTTTCATCTGAATCATGTCCACTTCATATTTCATGACTTTTTATGTTCTGGCGATTGTATTAGAATGTTGGATTGTAGTATTGCACCAGTAGATTTAAGTAAGGTTTATTTGTTTATATTTTGCAGGGTTCTGTGCATACATTCAAGAAATGTTGTCATTTGAAAATTTGTAAGGGTTATTCTTCAGGTGAATGACACCAAGATGACCTTAAAATTATGCGATTTTGGTTCTGGTTGTCACGTTGCTGATGCTGAAGTAGCACCATATCTTGTATCTCGTTTTTACCGTGCGCCGGAAATTAGTAAGTTATTGCTATAGTAATTTGAATTCGAACTTCTGAGACTTATTTCGTCCAAATAAAACCGAAATAAAAATATGCAACATTCTATCAGGGCATTATAAGTCGATCTTGAATTTAATTAACACTAGTTTTTATTGCAGTGCTCGGATTACCTTATGATTTTGGCATCGATTTATGGTCGGTGGCTGTCACACTTTATGAAGTGTATACGGGGAAGATTATGTTCGCAGGGAAATCAAATAATCAAATGTTGAAATTTATGATGGATTTAAAAGGGAAATTTCCAAATAAAATGGTGCGGAAGGCGCAATTCAAAGATCAGCATTTCGATCAGAATTGTAACTTCTTGTACCATGAAATCGACAAAGTAACGCAACGAGATAAAGTTTGTTGAGTTTTTTTCTTTAAATAACATCTTTTTTCTTACCTATGCATGCATTATTTAATTTACTTTTCAGAAACACCTCATCTTGCCATGGCACCCACTAAATTATTTCGGTTCACTCATGTTTGTCTCTATTAGAAGTGCAAGCTTTTCCAAGTTAACTTCTCGAAATTTCGTGAACTTGCGCTCAACTGACTTTTGTATATTGATTGCAAATAATAAACAAAAATTTCGTTACATCATGTCGGTCGTGAACATTCTGGCTGACAGTGTAATAAACAGTTGATTAGCAGTCATTTATTTGCAGATAACTACAATGTCTGTCGTGAAGATTACTCGGAATTTAGAAAGCGAGTTGTTGGGTGACCAGGAACTTGACAAGGTAAAGCATTCGTCACTTTGGTTTTTGTTTTTTTTAACCGCTGAATTTAAATTTCACATAAATCATAAAGCGTCGTTTCAGGACGGCATACGGAAACTCGAACAGTTTCGTTCTTTGTTGGATGCTATGGTAACACTGGATAACTCAAAGCGTATCACATGTGGTGAAGCACTTAAGCATCCATTTGTTGTAGAAAAATAAATTTGAATGTTGAATTGTGGCATTTTAGAATCAGTTTATTCTTCATGAATCCTTTTTCAGAGGTACGTCCTGAGATTAACGTTAAAGTGTTGCAGTCTATTTTTAATAATCATTCCAAAATGCCGTTTCCCTTCATTTTCGCTTAGTTTTCGATTCGTTGATTGCATCGACACATTTCGAATTTCAGAAACAGCCGAAATTTGTTGCACAAAAGTATGTAATGGAATGTGTCAATGCTGGCTTCAATTTATTTTATACCTCAGATAATGAATAACTAAATGTAGGTTTTAGGCGTCATTCTGAGGGATATCCTTGGTCAACTAATCATAGCCTTATTTTTTAAATGCATTGCTGATCGAATAAAGCAAAAATGTTTAGTATATTGAATAGTAAAGATAGTTAAAGAGTACGTAGTACTTTTTAAATGCATATTTCATTTAAACATACTGCCACCTCTCTACTTCTTTATTTGTCCAACAAATATATTTTGCATTAACAAAACAGCATTTATTTCAGCATAGGATTTTCTCGAAAAATTGCTCTCAAAAACAGTACAACCAATGTCTTACTTAATTAGATAAAATGACCATTACAGGGTAACTTTTGGAGATGGGAAAAACATGAAGTTTTATGGCCTTGGCAGGATTTCCGTAAATTTTTCTCCATCTTTCTATGATAAAGTAAAAAGGGTTTAAATTCTTTTGTCGTGATATTATTCCATACACAAACTAAAAGCGTTTATTCCTCGAGAATCTTATGTACGCCTTGAAGCCGATAACTTCACATGTTCATTTGATCCTGCTATTGGGAATTGTTTTGTTCCAAAGTATTATGATCAACAGTTTCGTTTTATTGTATGAGTTGTATTTCACAAGTTTGTACTAATAATATTGGAATAATTCTTTTGTTGCGGTCATCTTGTTGACCAAGTGAAACAAGGCAAACTGCGAAGTTTGCTTCTGTAAGGGAGAGGGGAAGCATTTAAATTCTTAGATGTTCTAGAGCCGTACAGGGCATTTCAATAATAATCTTGTTATCGAATGCGTGCACAAGGCAAAACAGAGGGAATGAACTGGCCACCTTGCAAAAATCTTTTAGAATTTTCATGATTTTGTACTTGTGCTGCTGTTAAATGGATTTTATATTGTTTGCCTTAATTGTACAATAAAATATTGGGTTTTGCAATTTAAATATCAAACACCCATAGGTGGATTTCTGGGAATCATGAAGAAACATGACAAATATATGTTATGGGGGGACATGAAAGTCATATCACTGATTGGCAGATAAAGTCAAACGGTCACAATTACCGACAACTTTTACAGATAGGCGACCGGTTGAATGGTGCATCAGTAATAAAGAGTTCTATATCCATGGACTGTAGTAATAAAAGCAGAAGGATCAGAGATTCAAGTTTCATTATATTCGCTTACAGATGTCAATTTTATATGAGAAGGCTATCGAACTACAAGGCTAAGGATGATTTGCAAATGTCTGGAGAAATTGGTATCTATGTTACCAGATGATTGATACTGTGTTCACTGCCTTGAGTGAAATGGGTGTTGACGAAACGTTGTCCACAATAACCACACGCATGATTTCCAGGTTTATCCTATAATGACATTGTTTAGACGTTTTTGTATTTTTTCCTCTCGTATCTAAACATTTTTTTCTTGTATCTAGACAAAAATATATATGTTTCAAAACCAAAATAACTAGGAATATTCGCTATTATCTTTATTACATAATACTTTTCAAGTCGAGTACTCAAGCAATAAGTTTTTACTACTTCTTCTTTACTGATCATCATTTAAAAGATGCTTTATACATCTCCCATGCTTAAATTGTTTATGTATTATCTAAACTCTATATGATCTGAAAAATTCGGAATCTGTCCCACTAAAGCTCAAACCTGTTTAATATCGAAATATTATCAAGATAATAAGGAAGTAAATTTATTGAAAAAGTCCCGAAATTTTACATATTTAGTCCTTATAGTTCGTAAAAAGCCTAATACATGCCAAAAAAGATATGATGGAATAGTAGCAGTTATGATCATACAATATAGGATTATATGTGTAAAGTAGTGCAAACAACCCAAAGATCACTAACCAATTTAATATATACACGTGGATGACCTAATGCCGAATGGCCACCATCACAGTGCACGACACGCTGGTCTGTTTCAATTGGTGGAACTTCAGCAATCAATTTTTGTGCAACATTTGGATTCACTTGTTTCGACATTATGGTAAATCTTACATTTCGATAATCGGCTTGATCCCATGCCTGTTAACATGATATCCATTGCATTAATGCAGAAGTTTGAAAGTCAAGAGATAAAAGTGAAAAATGGTCGATAACTAGATCTACCATCCTTGCTCATATTTCCTTTCCAATATGTTTATTATGGAATCTTGTCCCGGTATCATGTCGTTATGACAATAAACTAATTTGTAAGCTTTAATTTGTTATTTCGGAAAGCAATCGTCTAGTACCTCCTTCCTTTTGACAATTAATGAAATCATTTCTAATACAAATCAACTGCATATTAACGTACTTTCTAAAGACTGTTCGTACTTTGAACCAAATGCCTACCTGTCCGGTATGTGTAACTTTATCGTATACAGCATTTGCTGGTGTGACATCTTTCGGGGCTAAAATGTCTGACTTAGCACAATACACTTGTGCCAACAAACGTGATAATCTCCGGCTTACTACTGTCATCCAACCAACAGTACCTAGAACATCCAAAAACTTCAAATACACCCTCAAAAAAGAACAACCATAAGTATGACCGCAATGTACACATACACGTGAATTGCCATCCTCCATCGTCAATGCCGACAAATGCGGCTACAGAATGCAAATTTCTTGTCCAATATAATGTTAGGATTATCTTCAACTTTACTGTACTATTTGAAAATATATGTATGATATCGTTTTAGAGCACCGAGTGGATTTTCCAATGATAAATTTGCTGTTTTAAGAATTCCGAAACAAGAATGATTATGAAATCGGTGGAAAATTAACCAAACTTTAGAATTAACTGAAATTCAAAATTGACTATATTTCAGGCTAAACATCAATGGTTAAATAAACTCATACTCTAAAATTTCCATCAAAAGCTAGCTTAATTTGCCAAAATTTAAACAGTTTTTTCATTGAAATTAAACAATACACAACAAATCTGTAGTATTTAACTTTAACCAAATAGTGGATTTACTTACTGCCACAATCTAATCATCAATCATTATCACTAATCTATCATTAATTATTTATCCTATCTGTCATTATCATTAATATATCATTAATTATTCATCCTATCTATCATTACCATTAATCTGATACTAATTATTCATCCTATCTATCATTATCATTAATTAATCATGCTAACATTAACGATAACCTGGATAAAATTAAAACATTTCAAATGAAATCTTAATTTACTTTTCTCAAGATAACTTCTTCCTAGTAAATGCAGGAGAAAAGTGGAAATTTCACTGGATATATCGAAGTGATTGACAGATATTTGATTTGTTCCCTAGCTTATTCACCTCACTTTTGTTTACACCCCTATCGATAGATTGTATATCTCTGTGTGTGTGTGTGTCTGTGTGTGCATATATATATATGGGTGACAACTAATTTTATGGTATTATATGGTAGCCGTAGCCGTTATTTTCTTTCTTATATTTCATTATGATAACACGAAGAATTGACGAATAAGTTTAATGAAGCTTACAGTATGATTGAAGAATACAAAAAAAAGTTGATCGATAAGTCTTTTCCTTGGGGATTACAGTTTCTCTTAATAGCTGCAAATATTCCAATGTTTAATCCTCTTCTAGTATTTTGGGAGAATATCGATATGTCGACAGATAGACCGGGATAAGTACTATGATATACTGAGATAAATACCAATGATATCAGCAAATAGAGTGGGATAATAACTAGGATATGAGCAAATAGAGCGGGATAAATACCAGGATATCAGCAAATAGAATGGAATAAGTCCCAGGATACGAACAAATAGATCTGGAACAACCATTAAGTACCATTAATTACAGAATTGAAAAAAATCTCCCATTACTTTCGCAACTTTTGTTTTCAATGCACAAAAAAGAAGGGAAAGCCTCCATTTCATAAAGAAAAACAAAAACAAAACAACGATTTTTTTTCGTGAAATAAAATAGCAGTAATTTAAAAAAACTATTATACGTATATTTTTCTATTTAATGAGACAAATTAGAACTTTGATTTTTCAAATTGAAAGAGTTAAATTAAAATTTTTTTGTTATCCAAAAGTATTAATTTGGAAAAAAAAAGACCAATTAATGAAATAATTAAATGTGAATTGAAATTTTTATAAGGATATTCATATTTATTTTCTAATTTCTCATTCCGTTAAATATATAAATTATTCCGCAACTTTCTAGAATTTAAATGATGGAACTGAATAATCCTTATACAATACTCTTGAAATTTAGCAAATTTGACTGTTTCATATAATTCTCACTTTTTTTTTCTTCAATAAATTTACAACATACTGATTTATGATATGCATAAAATTATGACGTAAAAATAAGTGGAGAAAATGTCACTTTCACCAATTGTATAAGTGTAATCCATTTTCTGCCCTCATTTTTATTTTTGCAAATATACTTTGAACCATTCTATCCTCAGTCTGACTATGTGTTTCAGGATTGAGAATTTTTGCTGTATGTAAAAATTCAGGTTTGCTGTATATAAAAATTCAGATCAAATTGATTTCAATTTCAATCAAATTGATCTCAATTCAGGTCAAATTGGTCAAACTGATTTGATTTAAATTGATTTAACTCCTTCCTCTGTATACGAATTACATTTTCCAGTACGTTGAGTAATAAATTTGGTCGATGATTATTTCAAAGAATTAAAAATCATGTGGATGTAAAACTTTCCAATAATTATTGATCGAATTCGCCGTTGCGGCGAGCTTGAGTGGAAGTGTCGGAATTTCATGAAAGAAAGAAAACAATAAACTAAGATGAATTGAACTCCAAGAAAATAACTAACTTCATAAAACGACCATCAGAAGGTCTAAGGTCTCTTTGACCACAAAATTGAAAATGATGTTGCATTTGGACGCAGTTTCAAAGATAGTACACTTTGTGATTGCTACTTGCCGGAATAACTGCTTGTCATATATTCCAAATCTCAGGCATATTTCAACCTGAGATCGCTATTTAACAATTTCAAAAGAACTTTTTGTCTCACAATAAAGAGAGGAAAAGAGAAAAGTGAAAATTTAATTAAATCTGGGGAATTCCGACAAAATGGATATGATTGGAGATTCGAAATTTTGGCAAAAGGGGAAGAACAAGTTGTGAAACAATATTTGTACCTTTCTTTCAAAAGAATAGTTCGCTTCCTTTCTGATAGTATATTTNACATACTAATAAAGATACATTCTACGAAAGTTACAGT